ATACAAAAAAAACCAAACTCAACTTCTGAGGATGTTTTTCTATCCATCCTCATCTTCTGAAAAAATCTATTCTCACCTTCCAAGAAATGAGATTTATCGTAAGATTCCAAGGATTTTTCTCTAAAAAAACTTATCCTCATCTTCTCAGGATTTATTTCTACAGCTTCTGAGGATTTTTCTAGAGAAAAACATTTTTCCACAGCTTCCGAGGATTTTTTATAGAAAAAATCGATAATCTATAGAAGGAGAATTTTTTCTAAAGAAAAAAAGTCGATCCCCAATTTCAAACGACTATTTTGTTGTAGACCAAATCTGTCTTTAGCTTCTAAAGATTTAAGATAAAGATTAAAATCGAACCATAGCTTCTGAGGATTTTTTCTATAGAAATATATTGTCTATAAAAAAATATTCTAAGGATTTTTATACCCTACACAACTATGTTGTCAGGGTATTATAGCTTTGTGCAGCCCCAAAAGTTTGTAACGCCACGAAATATTGGTCCTAGACCCACCTTTAAGTATACCGATTGTCATATCTCGACTAGCTGAGTCGATCTAGACATGTGTGTCCGTCCGTCCGTCTGTCCATTATAATTTGTAAACACGATACAGGCCACAGTTATGGACCAATCTATACGAAATGTTGCATGTAGGATGGGTTTTGGCCAATGAAGACCCCTATTGTTTTTGGTAAAGATCAGTTAATATCTAGGGGATGAAATGGAACAAATACTAAATTTTTGTCGGTTTTTCTGGTCGCTCCAGAAGCCGCAATTATGGCGCGAACATCGCGAAGGATCTATACGAAATTTTGCATGTAGGATGGGTTCTGGCCATTGAAGACCCCTGTTGTTTCTGGAAAAGTTTATTTAATATTTAGGGGATGAAATGGACCAAAAACTTAATTTTTGTCGGTTTTTCTGATCGCTCCAGAGGCCGCAATTATGGCCCAAACTCCGCGAATTTTTGCATGGAGAAGGGGATCGGGCCAAGGGATAAGCATGCCTGTTTTGATAAAGATCGGTCAATATTTAGCTGGTGAAATGGACCCTGACTTTTGTGTGAAAAATAACAAAATGTGTATCCTATAGCGTATAGATTTACCCCTGAAGGGCATAGACCCGACAAGTTGATAGTATACACAAGAGGAGCGCTGATCGCTTTGAAATTGTCTATGATGATCCAGGTATGGTCAAGGGCAACGCCTGTAATTTTTTAAGTGGACCGAAAACTTAATTTTTGGGGTTTTTTCGGTCTATAGGCCACAATTGAAATCCGAAAAAAAACAACACAACCTACGGCGAAGGTCAAGAGAGTGCAAATATTGTCCAAGCTCAGAATATAGTACCACAGAAAGTTAGATTTTCGTGGAAGTTGTGTAGGGTATCATATGGTCGGCCCCGTCCGACTATACTGCTCCGCTCACTGGTTTTAATATACATATTTAAATTTTTATGTTTTTTTTCTGTAGAAAACATTTTTTTTTTTCAGAAAATTTGTAATTTTATTATTGAGTTTGCTATTGGAAAAATCTATTTCCCAATAGATAAAAATTTTAAATTTTCCCATAGAAAAATTTTCAAACAATTCTCAATATCTTGGTCATGGAAATGGTGGGGATAGTGCACAAAATAACGACAACCCTGTTTGCAATAGCCAATTAGATTAGCTGCTGTTTGATTGTTAAGAAGCTTCTTATTTATTTGTATGTATGTATTACGTATATATTTACGTTTTCTGTTTGTTTATCTACTTTTTTCTTAGAATTACTGATACGTTTTTGTATGGATCTTAATTTAAGTGTTTGTATGTGTGTGTTGTATGCCTGACGCATATACCCGGCTGAGGAAATACTCTCTGATGGGTGATGTGATGAATCACTCGATTGGAAAAGAAAACAATACAAACCAAAGGCAAAAAATATATAATAAACAAAACGAACGACCAGTCAGTCAGTCATACACAGAAGCATTATGACCACCACCTACCCAATATTAATACACCACCCCGCCACCCAAAACATAGAGATTTAATTGAGTTATAGACAACGAGAGGAATAGAATAGAGGTAATAAGGCGGGGTGTTGATTACAAATCTTCGACCCAGCGCTCCCAGATCACCTTAGGCGAAATTGAGTTTGGCCAACAAAGACACAAATCTTCCCATTTGTATCCCCCTCCCTCAATGGGCGGCCCAAAGAACTTCCATTCATTAGAAAACCCCCTGAAAAGTAAGAAGAATAAAAGGAGGGTGGGTATATCTGACTAAGTGTGTATGGGGCACGTTTGCTCATATGCCATTTTGAGCAGCTATCAATTCATTTTAATTTTGTATAGACATTTATTACTCCTCCACCCTTCAATCACAATTCAATGTTTATTTTTGTTGTTTGTGTTATTGTTGCTTTTTTTGTTCATTTGCACAAAGCAGCACGTTCCTTGCTGGCAGGCAGGCAGTCCGGCTGACTGGCTGGAGGCTTCCCAGCCCCTGCCATGCAGGTGTAATTGAACTGAACATTAGTTGCCTAGGTGTATGGATACATCTACCCATGAGATTTTGTTTCTATTGTTAGAAAATTTTAATTAGTTTTTTTGCCTAATAATCGAAATAAAAGAAAAAAACTATTCTTTTGATATAGCCCCACACACATGGGAATGGGAGGTTTAGTGATGAATGATAGAAAAATTTGAAATGACTGGTCACTTCATGCCGGGAATTTTAATGATGGCTGTGAGGCATCTATGGAATGTATTGGGCTAATTATAGAATTATCATAATTAGCTTTTTAATATAATTTTTTTGAAAAAATTGGGTCGTTAGATACAAAATTTTAAAGAGAATAAAAGAATAAAAGAAAAAAATTGAAAATTTACCGGGAACTATATATTTAAATCTGAGTCGACTAAAAAAAATATATACACGAAATTCCCCGATATGTAAAATTTCGTTGCAATTTGGAGCATTATTTACAAAACAAAAAAAATAGGATATATGGAAGGTATATCCATGCTGAAAGATTCAACCGGTCTTCTAAAAATATTCTTTAAAAAATTAACGGTAAATGCTCCGATACACATTTGAACATGTTCTTTAAAAAGTAAGTACTTAAAGCTCCGATAGACTTTTAAAAAAAATCCAAGCTTATAGCTCACTTCGATCTTTAAAAATATTAATTAAAAAATCCACGCCTAGAATGCTTTGGCAGGCCTTTAAAAATATTATTTTAAAAATCATGTTTAAAGCTCTGATCGGCCTTAAAAAAACCACGCTTAAAGCTCATTTGGGTCATTAAAAGTATTATTTGAAAAATCCACGTTTAAAGTTTTGACAGGCTTTTAAAAATATTATTTTAAAAATCTTCGCTTAAAGCTCTGATCGGTCTTTAAAAATATTATTAAACAATTCCACGCCTAAATCTCCAAGAGACCTTTAAAAATATTCTTATAAAGAAATCGGGCTTAAAGCTCCTTTAAATATGTAAGCATTAAACCTTTTCTAAAAATATTATTTAAAAATAGAAGCTTAAAGCTCGGAACCGCCTTAGAAGATATTGTTTACAAAAATAATAGATTTCAGCTTTTATAAAACGTTTAAATTATTAATTTAAAATATCTACGATTAGATCTTTTGTAATATTAACAAAAAATACAGGCTAGAACATCAATTTTTTAAATAAGATTTAAAAAGTCCATACTTAAAGCTCTGAAAGACCTTTAAAAATATTCTTAAAAAAAATACACACCTAAAGCTGTGAATTGTCTTAATATTATTTAAAAAATTCCAAACTGAATGCTTCGATCGGCCCTTGAAAATATTCTTACAAAACCTCCACACCTAAAGCTCTGACAGACCTTTAAAACTAATCCTAACCAGTGAGCGGAGCAGTATAGTCGGACGGAGCCGACCATATGATACCCAGGGCCCAGGGGGCCCGGGCCCCCCCCCCCCCCCGAAATGAATTTTTTTCACGGTAAATTTATGTTTGAAACAGCGATTTTTTTCATTTTGTACTACTACGGACGGACACACATGTCTAGATCGACTCAGCTAGTCGGAATATGATGATCGGTATACTTAAAGGTGGGTCTAGGACCAATATTTCGCGGCGTTACAAACTCTTGGGTCTGCACAAAGCTATAATACCCTGACAACATAGTTGTCTAGGGTATAAAAGTACCAATGCTCTGGTCAGCCTTTCAAAATATTTTTTTTTTTTAACAAATTCAAGAAATCGAAAAAAAATAATAAAAAAAAAACTTTCGAAATTTTAGCTTGAAGATCGGCTCAGATCGGCCTTTAAAATTTGTATGAAAAAATTTCAAACTTAAAGTCCCGATCCTTTTGAAAATGTTATTTAAAAACCCATGCTGAAAGCTTTGATAGACCTTGTAAATTATTATTTTAAAAGGCCATGCTGAAAGCTCTGACAGACCTTAAGGTTTTATTTAAAATCCCCAAGCTTAAAGCTCTAAACAGCTTTAAAAATATTATTTCAAAAGCTGAATTCAGGATAGTCCCTTATAACCATCAACAGCTATATCTAGGATAGCTGTCCTAGCTATAGCTAGGATAGCTTTTGAAAAAAATATTCGGATAGTCCTTCAAAAAATCATTAAAAAATCTATTTTTTTTTGTTTTTTTTTTTTCTTTTCCAAATCTATAAAAATAACCATATTTTTTAAAATCCCCATTATTTTTTGATTACCAAAAAATGATACGGCAACCCTGTTTGCCAACAATTAATTCTAACCCGCAGTATTACGTATTGGATTTATTTGCCCTCTTCAATTTATTTTGGATTTATTTCCACTAAATATATTGAGATACACATGTACGTATGTACACATATAAATGTGTGTATTATACGGGTTGGTGTGTGCATGCGAAAGTGTTTTAATTATGAGAAAGTATTTGTTAGTGATTACTTTCACGATGCACCTTCCACAACAACTTCTACTTCTTCGTCTTACCACCTCCCATTGTGTGTCGGTCTATCAATACATTGTAGCAATGAGGCAAACTTGACGAAGTGATAGCTCAACGTCACCACGACCACTGCCACCATTCACTCCAAAGATTTGTTCGATGCGCCTCATGGCGACAGGAGACATCATGTTGGAGGTGCTGTTGGTTGCTGGGACAGCATATCAAAATAAAATGTCACCGAGTTTTTTCTTTCATGTTCACGATGGAACACAAGTGAAAGATTTATAATTGCAGACTGAGCTTTCTACGAAAAAAAAAACTATTTTGCAGCAGGAACACATGGGCCTTATGTAATGCATTAAAAACTGAACAAGATATACTCTTCCAAAAATTACGATTTTTTCTTCTGAACTCAGAATGTTTGAATTGTGTGCCAATTAATATTTTATCGGTTACTGTAGAATTTTTGTCGTTCCGATTTCACTCCCTCAGCCAACAAAATGGCATATTAAATAATAATTATTCACCTGTGTGTAAACCATGTATTTAATTTAAGCTCCCACCCAATTATCCCTTACTAAAAATGAATGAACACACACACACATGATTATATTTACATATATGTATATATACACATGTGATTGTGTAAATATTTACTTTTCCGAGTCTTATTTACAAAAGAAAACCACAGCAAATCTCAGCAGTGATGATTGATGGCTGAGACAAACTGACAGACGACTTCGCTACTGCGGTTTTGATTGGATAAAAATATAAATCCGCTGAATACAAACAAACAAACAAACAAAAAATGAAAACATAGGCAGACGACCGGCGACTGGGTCGGTTTTTTTGCTGACGAATCTAAGACGAGAATGACAGCCAACCTCGAATCGACTTGGCGATAGACAAGCAAGGCAAGTGGCAAATGCTAACGTATCTAGCCGCCACAACAAGCTTAGGGAGTTGAGTATGACTAAATTTATTAGATTTTTTGCAACAACAACAATTACTTGAGAAAAAATAAATTTCAAAAAATATACATATATTTTAAGAACTAGTGTAGGTATAAACTCGGTCCATTGGAGATTTTATCATGGATTTGACAAAACTTATCAAGAATATATTTTAAAGGCCTATCAGAGCTTTAAGGTATTATTTTTTGAAGAATATATTCTAAAAGTCGACCAAAGTGGAAGCTTATGTTTTAATAGAAAAAAATAAGGATCAATATTTTAAAAGTTCTATCATCATTTAAATTTATCAGAGCTTTAAGCACAGAGTTGTAAAGAATATATATTAAAGATCGAACTGAGCTTTTAGTGTATGAATATAACTTAAAGATGAATCAGAGCTTTTATCCTGAATTTTTTTAAAGGTCGATTAGAGCTTTAAGCGTGGTTTTTATAAGTCTATTTTTAAAAGGTATATCGAAGATTTAAAAATGGGATTTTGTTAAGGCCGATCAGAGCTTTAGGCATGTTTTTTTAAATAATAAGAGCTTTAAGAGTGGATTTCACTGGTCGATTTTTAGAAAGGTCTATCGTAGCCTTAAAACTGGATTTTTAAAGACCGATCAGAGCTTTAAGCGTGGATTTTTTTACGAATTCTTATAATGAAGAATATATTTAAAGACCTATCAGAGCTTTAAGATGGATTTTAAAGGAAATGTAGACATGCCGATCAGAGCTTTAAGCGTGATTTTTTCAAATAATATTTATAAAGGCCGATCATAGCTTTTAGCGTGGATTTTTAAAAGAAGTGGTGTAAAGGGGCATTCAGAGCTTTAAGTGTGAATTTTGTGAAGGACGATCCTAGCTTTAAACGTGTATTTTATAAGTCGATTTTTAAAAGGCCGGTCTGAGCTTTAAGCATGGATTTTTAAAAGGTCTATCGTAGCTTTAATAGTTTTTTTTGAAAGACAAATCAAAGCTTCTTTTCAAGAATTTTTGTAAATGTTGATCAGAGCTTTGATGGTGGATTTTACAAGTCGATTTTATAAGGCTGATTAGAGCTATAGCTTGGACTTTATATCTCGTTTTTTAAGAGCTTTAAGCTTGGATTTTCAAACAATTTCCCTAAAGGACAATAAGAACTTTAAGTGTAGATTTTTTTAACTAATATATTTAAAGGCTGATGAAAGCTTTAAGCGTGGATTTATAAAAATATATGTTAGTAAAGGACAATCACAGCTTTAAGCATGGATTTAAAACAAAAATATGTTCATAAGGGTCGATCAAAGCTTTAAGCGTGAATTTTTTAAATATATATTTTCGTAAGGGTCGATCAAAGATTTAAGCGTGGATTGTTAAATACTCTTCTTTAAAGGTCGATCATAGCTTTTAGCTTGTATTTAGTAGATTTTTAAAAGACCGGTCAGAGCTTTGAATGTGTATTTTATAAACCGATTTTTAAAAGGCCAGTCAGAGCTTTGAGAGTGGTTCTTGTTGAAGGCCGATCACAAATTGAACAGTTGATTTTTTTAAGAATTTTTTATAAAAACTGGTAAGAGCTTTAAGAGTGTTTTTTTCAACTCGATTTTAAAAAGGTCTATCGTAGCTTAAAAAGAGGATATTTCAAAGGTCGATCGGAGCTTAAAGATGTAGTTTTTTAAAGAATTTTTGTAAAGGCCGATCAGAGGTTTAAAAGCTTTAATGGTCGATTTTTAAAAGGTCTATTGTAGATTTAAAAAACGGATTTTTGAAAGGTCGATCATAGATTAAAGCATGGATTTCTAATTAATAATTTTAAATGTCAATCAGAGCTTTGGTTACAGTTTTTTTAAACAATATTTTTTAAAGACCGATCAAAGCATTAAGCTTGGATATTATAAGTCGATTTTTAAAGGTACTTGAATAGTGGATTTTTCAAAGGCCAGTAAACGCTTTAAACCTTTTTTAAAGAATATTTTTAAGGCATATTAGCGCTTTAATCGTAGATTTCACAAGTCAATTTTTAAAAGGTCTTTCGTAGCTTTAAGATTGGAATTTGGAAGGATTCAATAACATATTGCAAAAGCCGATCAGAGCTTTAAGAGTGGATTTTAAAGGTCGATCAGATTTTTTTAAAAGTATTTTCGTAAGGGACAATCAAAGATTTAAGTGTAGATTTTATAAAAAATATGTTTAAAGGCCGATCTTTTTTAATCGAGTTGACCACTTTTAAAGAAGTTTTTGCATAGACCGATCAGACATTAAGGGCATTTTTTTTTTAAATTATGTATTTTAAAGTCTATCGGAGAGGTTTTTTTTCAAGAATATGTGTAAAACCCGATAAGATTTTTAAATATGGATTTTTAATATATATATTTTAAAGAACATTTTTATGGACTTCCTCATAATCGATTTTTTGAAAAGGACAGTATCTTAGGGAATATCTAAGCGATGATTTATTTTTTAAATATTATTGCACAGCTACCACCTAGGCCTTAGTACTGAAAAATATTAAAAATTTGTATGGTAGGTCATTTCAAACATAAAAATCATGATAGGCCCCCCTTAACTGGCTACCTAACATTAATAAAACGAACACCAAAATCGTAATAATAAAAATTTTCTAAATTCCCATAAAACGAAGTCACACACACGAAGCGCGTAACAATGCCATTTGTCGTCACTTGAAACGCATAACAACAACAACAGCATATTTTTTGGTTTGTGACATTAATTTTTGCATTTATGATTTAATACACGAGCTGCTACCCTACCTGACAGCAGCTCCTCTAACTCGCACTCCATTTACGGTGGAGTGGTGGCACCATAACTCATAAAACTCAACAACAACAGCTCAAACGCCTCGAAACGCGTCAGCAGCTATTCAAACACATAAAAAGTGAATTTGAAAAACAAAAGCAAACTCGTGTCTAGCCATTTTTGGCGGTTGGGCACCGGGACGACACTGAATGGAGTCAAGTGGCTGGCTGTTGATGGTAATGGTCGTTACACATGTATGACATTTGTTGTTGCTGCTGGAAACATAATTACAACAATGTTTGACGACAACAACAACAAAGTCAACATTGTCATCATCTCTCTATCATGGTTGACGACCATGGAAGGCAGGCTGTAACCAACCAGGCGGCATCAAATGTCAACGGTAGCGAAGTCATGGACGTGAAGCATGAAAATAGTAGCTATTCAGAGGACCATAAAATTAACTTCGAAGGGTAAACATCCTTTATGAATTAAAATAAACAAAATAGAAAAAAAATCAAAGAAAAAACAATAAGAAACATAAATGGATTATGAACAAAAGCCTATAAATAGCACAGGGTGTTATCAAAAGGGAGAGATAGAAAAATACCCCTTAGAATTAAATTCTAAAATATATAGGACCTTAAAAATCTCGAAAATGCCTCTTCAGAAAATAGGTATTTAATTTCAAAACTACATGTCAGAGCAATCCTCATCATGTGTAGGTCGGAAAATTAATTGGAAGCTATACTTAAAAAAGAGGATTTTTGAAAGGCCTCATATTGGCCTTTAAGAGTCATTTTTTAACGAATTTTTAAGGGCCAATCAGAGCTTTAATCGTGGATTTAAAAAAAAAAATCTTATAAAGACAGATCGATTTTCAAGCTTGAGCTTTTTTAAAAGAATTTTCGTAAAGGACAATCAAAGGTCGATCAGAACTTGGATTTTAGAAGTCGATTTATAAAGGGTCTATCTTAGTTTTAGGAGTTGCTTTTTAAAGTCCAATCGGAGCTTAAAGCGGAATTTTTTTTAAAGAATTTTCGAAAAGGACTTTCAGAGCTGTAAGCGCGGATTTTATAAGACGATTTATAAAAGGCCGATCAGAGCTTATAGCATAGATTTTATAGCTTAAAGAGAGGAATTTTAAAGGTCAATCAGAGTTTTAATCTCAGATTTCATAAATTAATTTTTAAAACGTCAATCGTAGCTTGAATAGTTGATTTTATATCGGTCTTTATAAAATCAACTATTCAACTAGATTTATGAAATCTTTAAGAGTGTTATTTTTTTCAAATCGATTTTTATTTCTTCAGAAATCATCCTTTAGAAATCTGATAGTCCTTCATAAAATATATCCGTTCAAATAATTTATTGTAGGCTAGAAAGTCAGCCACAAAATATATATAGAAAAATTACGTGAATTTATTTGAAAAATTCAAGCTGTGATTAAGGTCGAAACGTCGTTAAAGTTCTGATAGACCCTCAAAAAATATTATTTAAAAGTAAAGCTCTGATAGAC